TCAAGTTACATACCTGATGACAGTACGAATGGCAATTATAATAGGGAGGTTTTAGTTTTTTAAACTATAATTTGATTGATGTTGGCTGTTGTCTGTCGCTTTGCCTGAAAATATGAAAATAAATTTCAAAGAATCGGCAAAAAAAAGGCCGATGCCCATGCTCAATTTTGTGCCGATACTAGCGGATGCCGATTAATCGGTCGAACTCTATTAAGCAGAACTTTTCTTCCATGTGGTTGTTGTTTTGTTTCTCTCTCTGGGAGAGCAACTAAAAAAAAATTCTGAACGCTTTTGGGCTTTGAACTCAACATCAACTTTAGTTCAGAGCTATAACTATAAATCCGCCTTAAGATAGCATATGGGTATTTCCATACGTCACATACGTGACAGTCGTACGTTTCAATGTGATACAATCAAGGAATACCATTTGTTTTCTTTAACTTTTTTGGGCCATTGTATAGCACATAATTAGCTCTATATTTAACCGAAAAATTAAAACAATCGAACTGCTTGGTCCGGAAATATATGTAAGCATTTTCTTACGAAATCGCAAAACTCTGCGAATTGTGGACATTTTCATGAAACTTATTTTAATATGATTTGGAGCAATTCTAGTTATTTTTGGAGTTTTTTGAATTTATGCAACTTGTTTCAATTTTCTTTTACAACACCCCAAGTGTGAAACGTCACGTGACGTAGCGAAACATGACATAAATTTCCATCGATATAATATTGCTTTTAAATGAATTTTTAACGCAAATAAAACATGTATTTTATGTAGAATATACTTCATTTTTGACTTCAGCGGCAATTCAGGGTGAATTTGTTGGAAATATATGACTTATTATGTTTGAACTACACACGCCAAATTCGAACCAAATCGGACCATAAATACGGTTTTTCGAAATATCTCAACCCTGGCGCCACCTAGGAAGAACATTTTACGCAAACATGATTTTACTTACATAGCCATTATATACATGCCATTATATATTTTAAAAAAAGCAGACAAATCGTTAGATATAAGATTTTTATTTTTTTTTTTTGTCGCGGTGGACCTTCCGATGGAAACACCCATATGTTTAGTGTAGTTTTTCTTCCTTATTAGTAAAACATAAGTTACATATGTATGTAGCAGACATAAAGTAAAATAAGTTAATTGCAGTTTATTTCGTTTATTTCAAATAGTTATAGATTATCTGCGTTTTAAGTTTTCCAACGGCTAATTACGATTCCATTTGAGTTATAAGTTTTTGTTAAATAGTTTTCGGTGTACAGTAAAGTAGATTCAATTTAAATTTATTTGACAACATTTTATTTATTACTCGTTAGACCATTAAACAATCATTTAAATATAAGTAAATACCTTTAGATTTTTAAGGGGTGTGAAATTAAGTGCTTCTATTGCATATTGTTTTTAACTTATATGCTTGGTTTAATTACTTGTTGGGTTACATGTGGGTTATACTTAGTATTCTTATGCTGCATAATTTATTTGAATGTAATTTATTTAAATGTAGTCAACTTGTTCATTTATATCTCTTTAATATTCCATGGAAAACTGGTTTAATTGTTGGTCTAACCGGAGCTTCCCGGAAACGTTTCATTTGAGTTCCGTATATAGCGGCGGTAGGTGGACGTTTATAGGGCAATGTTGATGGAACAATTTTGGCTAGAATATTTTTTTAGTTTAATAATTTATTTTAATAGCTTTTATGTTCATTTTATTTTATTTATTTGTATATTGATATGTATATTTTTTATATGTATTTATTTGCATGAATTCATTTAAAAATTAATTTGAGTATTATTTTTTTAAGTGTAACTTTCATTATATGAATTTATAAAAGTACCTCATAATGAACTGACGTACATATAAACATATGTATGTATATACCAAATTATAATGTTAATAATAGCTTACCTTTGGTGTATTCATAAGCTGGTACGATTGTGCGCTTAGGTATGCGAGCTTCATACACCTCCTCTTCGGACTCTACATCCCTATAGTTCCGTTTAGAGAATTATAAAAATTAAAGATATAGGTACAAAAGCAATAAATAATACAAAGGCGCGTTTTAAAACTTGGATAGATAAAATTATCAGACTTCCACAAAACAATGGATAGCAACGTTTCTCATGTTATAAAATCATAACATAACTGATACGTTTGAGAAAATAGCACGAAAATTTAGTAAATATCTATACACATATACATACATAGTACGTACAAATTTGCTTATTGAACACGATAAATAAAAGATATGGGCTGAAATGTTCTACTTACTTAGACGGTTCCATTTGGTAGGCATATTGCTTAACAAAGTTTAAATATTTGGATGGCCCATTGGCTGCAATATTCTTGTCAAATATGGATCTGAAAAGCATAAAAAAATATTTTTTTATTAATATGTACTAACATTAAATGTCCAAAATGTTATTTTACTTAGAAAATTGTTTGGCAGATTTCGGATCGATTTCCATCAGTTCTCGCAGTTGTTCCTGAGCAACGTCGTCGTTCTTGTCAGGAACAAGATATTTCCTTATTTCAGCCAAAGCATAAGCAACACGTGCATAAGCCTCTGCAGGTGTTGCAACAGTACTTATCTCAACAAATAAATCCTTATTTAAATGGGTGTGGCGAGGATCGCCAGAGTTACGCATTTCCTCCTCCTTGACGCGGTCACGTATAGAATTCCGACCTTTAATTACAATTCGACATTGAGTTTCATCTTGTAAACGACGAAGTGAATTTCCCTTAGGTCCTAATATTTTGCCCGTAAAGTTGAACTATAATTTGGAATTACATTGTATAGAGAGTAGAGATATTTAAGGCAGTGTCAGTATACACGCGCCACGATAACTTTATAACGTGGATGCCGGAGAAGTGGGGCAGAACTTTTTTATGCATAGGCGGCCCTCGGGTGCGCTTAGGAATTATAACCCTTACTACTCAGAATTCTCCTTTCTTGCCGAAGAAGTGGGTCAGTACTTCTTTCTGTGTAGGCCGCCTTCAGACGCGCTTAGGGATTATAACTCTTACTACTCAGAATTCTCCTTTCTGTGTTGCCGGAGAAGTGGGACAGAACTTCTTTCGGCGTAATTTTTACCGTGGCGCGTGTAAGTAGACACTTCCTATATTTCTGTGTTGGTTTGGAAAAGTAGTTTATGTCTAAAGGCTGGCTTTAGTATAGTAGTATAATGCGGCATTCCCTTTATTCTTTAATCGACAAAGAATTTTTTGATGAGACTTGATAATATATAAAGCCAGCATTTCTACATAAGCTATTTTTGCATATAAGCACTGATTTAAATACCCAAAAAAATTTAATTGCAAAAATATGTATAAACCTCACCTTAGGATATTGCTTTATTGGAACAAAAACTTTCTGAACGAGTTTTATGGGTTTCTGCTTGTAAACATCGGCATAATACTCGCGCCCGGGTATACGTCCAGTAGTGCAGACCCGTTCAATAGCTGTTAAGATTTTTAAATTAAAGTTTTCAGTGCAAGTGTATACTTATGAATATGTGTACACATAAGTATGTACATATTAGGACAAGTAGGTACCTTCTTCTATTAGTAGTGCGCATATAGGGAATTCACTGCTCAGCCTTTCACGTTCTTCGTTTAATTCATCCAGAAACTTTTGTGCGAAATTGTTAATTCGCGGTCCATCGATTTCAACCTCCTTTTGGACATGATTAGCTTCTTCTGAATGTTCCGACATTTTTTTGATGAAAGAAAGTTGAATTTTTCAAGTACTAAAGAAACACAATACCGTCCGCAAATGCAAGGATAAAATCTAAAATGGCGAGCGTTTTCCAAGATGTAGCGAATAGTGATGGAGAACTATCGATTGTTTCATTTTGCCGCAACTGTCGAATTTTTCTAAACACTATCGATAGTTGTATATTGTGCACAATAAAGGCCCTACACACGCATTGATTTGTCGGCCAACCATTTGAAATTCCATACACACGCAAAAACCAGTTGGCCGATTTCATTTCGAGTGACAGTTTTTGAACTGTGAACAACACAACAGCACTGGTAAACTTTTAAAGCCTGCTATACAGTTCAATGTGAGCGTGAGCGTGAGCTTTTTATTTTGACCAATATCTTCGTTATTACTTAACTTTTTGCAATAGTTGCTACATCAAAAGATAGAGAATTTAAATATCTTTCAGAATTATGGAATAAAAACTGCATATGTGCATAATATGCCTTTTTTCAAGCTCACACTCAACTGTGTGCGTACGCAAAGCATTCGCATGTGAACAACAAGTTTTGACAGATGAGTGTGATAGCCCGAACACAATGAAAACGACGAGCTACGGACCACAGCTGTCAAATTATTTTACCACGTACTCTTATGTAGATAATTATTTTGGCGACGACCGGGCTACGCGACGGTTGTGGTTGTGGCCAGATTAGATCTATTTCTATTTTAATGGCAACAGACAAGATTCTTCCTCTTCTTTTATGTCAGACTCATACAAATTCATGATGTCGCTGCCGCGTTCAAAGAAATCATGTCGCCATCGACAAAGCGTTTAGATAATGAAGATGACAAATTGGAAGCTGTGGTCCGTAGCTCGTCGTTTTCAATGTGTTCAGAACTTGAGCCTCCATAAGAATACAAATGGAATTCTTTGCCTTTGTGAACGTTCACACTCAAGTTCTGAACACATTGAAAACGACGAGCTACGGACCACAGCTTCCAATTTGTCATCTTCATTATCTAAACGCTTTGTCGATGGCGACATGATTTCTTTGAACGCGGCAGCGACATCATGAATTTGTATGAGTCTGACATAAAAGAAGAGGAAGAATCTTGTCTGTTGCCATTAAAATAGAAATAGATCTAATCTGGCCACAACCACAACCGTCGCGTAGCCCGGTCGTCGCCAAAATAATTATCTACATAAGAGTACGTGTTAAAATAATTTGACAGCTGTGGTTGGTAGCTCGTCGTTTTCATTGTGTTCGGGCTATTACATTATCTCCTACAAAGCCAATGGGCCAGGCACAAACAAAATTAATAAGGTAGGATTTAAATGCATCCGCAATAGAAACGAGCTCATCATCAACAATTTTCGAAGAAACCAACATTTCCATGTCCTTTGTGTGCCAATTAGCTATCATAACAAATGTTTGCTTCTTCATTTCCTGCACAGATTTACATGAAACTGTCGCAGAGTTTATAGAAATGCTCGACATTCTACAGTACCATTCGTCGTCGTTGTTATCTATTTAATTTCATAGTCTGTGGCTTTATTGCCTGCAACACAAGCATTACAGTGGGTTGGAAATTCGGAAGATTCAGTCCCGTTTTCACAGCGGGGGGGTTAACACAAATTCGGCAGTTAAACCTCAGTCAGTTAGAATAATGCTCAGAATTATTATGTATGCAAATATTTTACATATTTCATTCGGGCTTGATAAAAAATTTTAATATATAGTTCTCTGCCTTAAGGATACGTATGTATATATGTAGTTATTCTGTCCCGCCAGATCTAATAAAAATCTGAGGGTTATTTGCTTAGTTAGTTCTGTACTAATTAGATTTACTAAAGGAAAATTATTTAACTTTGAAATGTAGAGAGGGTATTTCCTGCATTTTTACCTTAAGTTCCTAGGCTTTTTTGCTTTGGCTCCAAGAGCTTAATAACGCAGAATTTCGGCAATATATTTGCTAATCTAACCATTTGCAACTTTTTAATCGGCAAACAAGTTCAACTTACGAAACAATCAATACAAAGTGGATAACTACAACTATTTACTACAGCAAATAGGCATACAAAACCAATACAAATAATAACGCTAACTACAACTACAACTACAAATACAACAAAAACATTA